CCAACTAGAACAGCTCGTAGCAAGTGCAGAATCATAAGAGAAGTGGTTGGTAATCTTTTACGGGTAAACGATCCTTAAAATTACGTCAATAGCAAACATTGATTCAATTGTTATCTCAAATCGTGTGTCATATTTTATCAGTAGCAGGAGGAACATGATTAACATAAAGAATGAATCAATGTTTGTTCCTCAGCTATGTAAAAGATTTATTTAGCTGTTGAAGAACAGAAATCATTCCAACCGGGAACGGGTCTTGGGTCAATGGTCTGTACCAACAAGTGGGCACACACTGTTTACAAAGTTATTTAAAACCGGTTAAATTTTTTTTTGTTTATTTAGATTTAAATCCACACCTGCCTTCAATTTGACAATAAACAGATGAGCTTTAGTGAATTCGGAAAATCCTATGTTAGGCAAGAGGAAGATGCGTACACAGCAGTCAATATTTTCTTCCTTAATTCAGGTAAAGTGATCACTCAACCAGCTCCTTTTCAGTCACCTCAATGTCAATATCAGTGTCAATTCTATCGTTGTTTCTGTGTAGTTTAATATGAAATAGGAAATAAAAAGTACGCATGTGTAGGTCGATAGTAGGTATGTAAGTTTTTTGTTTAAGTACCAGAGAGCAGTGTTATTATTCTTCTTAGATTTTTGGATCCAAATGATTATAGATTTTGTAAGTGCGTCTTTTCTTGAACCGAAAATCTTGATGAGGCGTACGTCAATATGGGTTTCAGTAAGTAGGTAAGTGTATGTATTTTCTTTTTGGTATGTTTGAGTATCCGGGGAAAAAAAAAAGTATATTATTTATATTTATAAAATACCTAATATACAAATAATTAAATAAAAGTAATGATTAAGGATGGAGTAAATTACAGTATAAGGTAAACCTATTTTACACAAAATTATGTAAATTACACCTAATTTACACTTTTTACTTTCACGTACCCTGTAGATGCCATATATAGTAAGGGTAAGTATTGAAATCGTGAAAATTTTCGAGTCTGAGTTTTCAAGTTCAACGAAAATACATGTTTTGTTTTGAGCTCTGCTGAGTCAAAATAATCTAGTCCCGCAAAATGGCCTGTGTGTGTATGTATGTTATCACACCAACCCAAAAAGAAAAAGTCCTATGAAAATGAAATTGCATATTTGAGGTTTTTTAAAGATTCCGATGTCACAGCAACATTTTTGTCAAAATCAGCAAACCGGAAGTGGTACATTATATAATGAATTTAACACATTTTTACGTCTCTAACGATTTTGTTTAAACTCAGTATATCAATGTATTATCATGCAGTTTTTAATATAATGTAGGTTTTATTCTTAAATGGCTAATTTTCAATATTGGCTTCCTCTAAAGTACCTTTATTTTTTTTTATTTGAGATAATTAACCATTCCACATTAATATTTGATATAAAAAATAGTTAAATATAAAATATGAAAGAATTTGATAACTAACCAAAGGAGAAATTAGAAATAGTAATGGATAATAACTGTAATAGAGGAATGAAAAGAGCTCGTGTGAGCTAGGGACTCGAGCTCGCCCGAAAGATTACAACAGGCTTCCATATGTAACATGAACTTCATATATTACGGACTCTGACAATATTATATTCATATACATATACGGTTTTCATAAATTCTATCGTTGGTATTATTTAATATTTAATTGTATAGAATATAGCAATATAAAAATTAAAATTTGCTTAAATAAGGGCAATGAATTGTAAATAAGTACAGCGTCAATAATTTTTACTTTCAATTCCCCTTTGTCTGAAAATACTTATTTCTGCTAAGAAGAGTGTGGTAAGTGAAAGTCGTGAGATGCACGCACCAGAACTTTACTTCTGCTAGGTTGGCCATTGAAATGGAAGTAAATAAATCGTTCACTTTACATCAAACATGGCCTAAAATTGTCACATGATAGGTCATCTTTTACGTAGGATTACGTCGGATAATAGCATTACGTCAGCTATTACGTTTATAATCAAGAGTTTTAAGTTAGCCAGAAATTTATTTTCGTCAACCTTGAAACATAGGAGAATAGCTGAAACGAAAAATGACCGAATTTTAGATGGTTTGTTTATCTTGACGCAATCAAATTAATTAGCTGCTCAGCTAAAATAGTGAACCACTAGAAATGAGTTAAACTATTTTTTTTTTAATATTTACAGAAGTATAGTATGTCTTATGAGCTGATTTTTAGGCTTCGAATTCCTGAACTATAAAGCATAACTTTTCTTGCTAGTAGACTGCTAGTACAACATAGATCGCTTCGTACATTTTAGGAAACTGCTAAGGTATTTATTTAATACTTCTATTGTAAGACCGCTGCTCCATAGTGAAAACAAGGCGTACACTCTAAGGAAATTTGGTACTAATGATCGATATAAAGGTCGCCTAAATATAACCTCTATAGAAAGTTATTAATAGTTTGGAACATGCCGAGTTGTATATTAATAGATCATCAATAGCGTAAATTGAACGGATTTTGTTTTACATCCAATGTGCATTAAATTTGTTGAAGATTGTGCATGATATGGTCAACTTCATCTCTAAACTTGGTTAAACGAAACCACCGGTAACCTCAATGTTCATTGCCCTATCATTACCATGATAAAATCATTATCATAACCTATAAACAACCAAAACGTTGCCTTGTCTACCAATCATGAAATTAGTCTATATATTATATTGTCGATTTTACATATTTTTATAGTTTTCTCGAAAATTCGTACTGACTATTTTAATGATAGTCGTCATATCGGAGGAAAATTGAATGGAATTTAATATAGAATAGGTATTAAACATTGACAAATCTGACAGTAAATAAATGCAGAATTTTTCAAACATCTATCTAAAGTTAGTTTTATTATAAATACAATAAGTAGCTGTCATAAACTTTGAAAAAGTTTATAATTGATTGAAGGAAAAATATTTTTTTCAGACATAGAATGATTTTCCGGATTTTTTAATTAGAAATAAGAAATAATGTGTTTCTGTTTGATTTTCTTTTTTGCAGTCAAAAGAGTTTCAACAAATTACTGATCCTCGTCACAGAAGTTATTATAGAAATTACCTATCACAGATATTACAAAGATTTTGTTATATACTTACCAAATATATTTCAATCAAAAGTACCACAAATTTTGGCTATCGTAAAGATATTGCATCATTTTTAGGGTATGATATAAATAAAGATCAGTTTGAGCAAAGTTTACTACAGTAATTTATACACAATTATAATTGTAAATGTTATTGCTTTGTCACTATAGAACATGAAATAGTTCATACATAAATAAAATCCCCATCCCCACATATATTATCACACTAAGGCTAAAAATTGGTTTTGTACCAAATATAAGCTCCTGTCGTGCTCAAATACCATGAATGGAGTACCGTTGGATTCAGAATTTCACAAGAGGTTAGCGAATTGAATTCTCCACTTTTGTTTTTCTTTCTAAAATAAATAAAGTCGATACAAACATTTTGCTAGGCTTCAATAGTGGAGCGGTGGTAAGTCTGTAGTTCGATACAAAACAAATTGGGCTTTGAAGATTTTGATGCGTACAGCAAGATCCTGATAGTTCCTTCGGAACTATCGAGCCCTCCGCCTTGAGATAACGCAAGGCGTAGCGTTCGCATTCACACAGCTTTACGTTAATTGTAGTAATATCATTTAATACATGTCTCATTTCGTCGACTTGAGGCCTCTATGATCGAGAGAGGAGGAGTTTATTTTATTTATCGATGGTGTTTTTGATCGACAAGCCATATCATCGTTAATGTTTCACCACAACTCAAGATTGAGCCACCAATTTCGAAGGCTTCCTTCCACTTCAGGCGGGCAAAATAGTCCTATCACCTCGAAACCTCAGGCAAACAAGTCATGCAAGAAAAGAAACTTTATTTGCGAATCAATAAAAAAATACACAATTTTCTCTCGGTTATATCCATGATTATATAAAACATTACCAAATTCCCTACAAAAGGAAAAAAAAATCATCGAACAATTTTTAGCAAAGATTCAGCTTATTGGAATTTGTTAACATGTTGGTTTCAAACATTAATGAAGTTTTAAATTAATTTTAGTTTCCTTTTGAATTATATTTATCAATAAAGAAAACAATTGATTTCTTTATCATATGATACATTATGATGCATTATTTTCTTTTGTTATTAATTTGGCATTTGATAGCTTAATAATATGCTGTGCGAATTTTTCGCATGGGCTTGCTAGTTATATATATTGTATATTTTACTGCTTTATGAGTATAGAAAAAAAATATATATTTCATGTTATTAATCTCGCCTTGATGTTTCCATTTCTATCGCGTCTAAAGCATACACCATAGTTGTTTTATTTAAAAAATTCTCGAAAATATTTTTAATCCGGAAACTAGTAAACTTTGTCTATTTAATGATACACTAGAAAACTCATTTGCTTTCCACTTGCATTAAAAGATAATTTCATCACAAACTAAAAAAATAAAATAAAGCATACAAAACATTGAGTCATTTAAAGGATGACCACCCCCCAACATGTCAAAATAACAAATTTACATATACCAAAGGGCTTGATATTTTTGTAGGCCATATTTTCTTTTTGATTTCGGGATCAAATTATTTTACGATTCAAGTAGAAACCAAATGAGTATTCGTGATTTTTTAGTAGTTCATTAAATGGATTGGTTTAATGAGAAAATGCTACATTTCTGAGAATTTTGGTTGTTAAAAAAGTTGTTGGTTACGGTTACATGAAGCCATTCCCGAAGTTATAGACAGATTTTAATAATTTGGTGAAAAAATAATCTAAACCGCGGACTAACAGTTTTAGGATCGCCAGATATTTTCATGCTTGGTGCGGTTGAAACTAATTTTTAAAAATATTTGCATATTAATATTATATGAGCTGAGTTTTATGAATGGGGTCTTGGACTATTTAACGGAAACCTGTTGCTTCTATACTGTAATGCTAATCGCTATTCGTGTCCTATCACCAGCAGACCATTTCACTAAGATTGTAGTCAGAACTCAGCAGATGGCAGCACTCCACCATACAGTATCGGCCGTGATTGGCCAAATTCTGCTTCTCAAGGATCCGAAACCAGTTCCTAAAGTAATTAATATATTGTTGAGGTAGATAATTATAAGTGAAGCCGAAGGGCAGCTATCAGGTGCCAAAAACCGGATAACGCTTTAATAGCATATTGGGAACGGGAGATGTATATCATTAAATAGTTTATACTGATTTAGATAACGCTACGTCAAACCTAAGGTTATAATATGCTTATAGGTATTATTATTTTATAGAATAAAACTTTTTATTGTACCTAAGAGATAGATGGAATACGTACAGAGGAAGCCAACAAAAAATAATAATGTCAAAGGAAAAAATTCTGGTGGACATCGACCACATAACTTTCACACACCAATCTCTTTAAATAATTTTTATTTAACCGAAAATAAAGGTCGAACATTCAATTAAATTTGCAATCTGTAAATTTCTTTGCAATGAGCAAATTTTTTGGCAGCTCACAACGTCCCATCACAAATCCAGGAAATAGATCGGTTCAGCAGGTCTTTTGGTCACCGCCTACGTAATCGTCGAGGTGGGCTGTACGGGTTTCTTGTACGTTTAACGATTTCCGTCAGAGGATTGCTGCTGTACGTCAGTCTTTGGTGAAAGTTATTGTAGTTTTCTTTCGCTGTGTCTAAAATTGTTTGGACGTTAAGTCTTTGTGTAATATACCATTTGCGACGTAAACGGTCCGTCATCTATGCTTTACAACACTTTTGACTGGAAGGACTGAATTATTTTAATGTTGAAGGTTATAGCAGAATCCAACGGGTCTATGCCGTGAGTCAAAATTGGTTTTAATAAATCTTTATAAAGGGTTAGTTTGATGGTTAAAGATAATGAAGTTTCTACTCAAATGGGGCTTACTAAAATTAAAATATGTAAATCTATTGTTGATGCTAAAATCATTAAACCAAAAATATACAAGGTCATAGTCGGTGGTATTTACATTTTTCAGTTACCTTTTAACACTCTATATGTTATATAAAAAACTGTCAACTATATTACAAATATCTCGTTTAGCAGTATAGCACCTCCCGAAGAAGGGATGAAAAAAATAACAACTTTATTATTTAAAATATACCATTTTAAAAATAATTTAGAGGAAGTCATTTTGAATGTTTTCCGTTTAAGCCATGTCAGACTATATCAATGAGGATAAGACCTGGCTAATATTAAAATACACTTATCGTAAATGTACCAGTAATAGGCAGTTTTCAATTCATTGACAAATAATAAGCTTTATAAGCCCAAAATGGAGTGAAAATTTGCAATTAGAATACTTAGAAGGGTGGTGCCTGAACTTCAAGTGATATAATGCCACAATAGCTGATTGTAAGTCGATTTTTTAATAAAACAAGGCTGGAGTTTGTTTCTAGCAGATTTTCTTATTACGTTTCTTTAGGAGATAAGCTTAAACTTTCAATTTCTTCATCTGTGATTTTCTATTTTAGTTTAAAATAGTACATGATTTATTTATTTTTAATTATATAAAAACCTGTTGTTCCCAAAACCTCGGTGTCTATTACTGGTGCACTATACGCAGTCGGAATTTCTTAAGTTTTTCATGAATAATAAATTAATTGTATGTAAGATAGAATAATAAATAAGATCGATAGCAGACTAAATTTACTGTCAATTAAATCCATTTGCAAAGATCCACCACCAGAAGTAAAACTGGTTCACATTTTTAAAATGTCTATTACCGGTACATTTAACTAAATGGGATATTGGAATAACGAGTCTAATCTTCAGAGCTGTTTTCGAAGATATAATTTAAATTTACAAAATCGATTATATAAAAGCCTGCTTTGACATCTGAGGTATATACTTACTTTAAATATGTTATTTCAGTTCCGTAAAACTTAACGTTTGTGAACTAGACTGATAACATACCAACAGACCTTTTGGAGAGACTTGTTTGAATTCAAGGACTTCAAAACGTGTATTTTTGTTTAAAACTCGGAATCAAAAGTATTCAACAACCGCTATAATATCACTATATATTTTATATAGAAGCAAGTGAACAAGTAATCGTATACTAAGATGGGATTAACGTCAATGATGGCGACATATGAGATCAAGAAACTGTAGATAATTGTCTAATTGCCCTGGCAGCAAGCAGCATTAGCTATAATTACACAGCCTCGCGGGGCTAACGAGTGTTTGTTGCCATCGGGGTAGCCGTACTCCTAGATATATTGTACGTCGTAACGCCCAGTAGGCCTCGGATCTCCCTTCCTGACAGCACTTGCCGGATGTGAGCCAAGGATACCATGCCAGGCGGGTCTCGAGCGTGGTTCGATGCCAAGTGCATTCTTGGCGTTGTGGTCGTTGTCCCAAGAAGTAATGAATGTATCGAAAACTAGTATTGGAAGATAAACTTAAGTATTTCTATGAAAAAAAAGTACTATGAATAGATTTAGGAGATACGGTCATCAATTTTTTTCGATGCTACAACATCGAAAAATATTAATTCCAATTGGTACTAGGAGCCTAGAATAACATTGTTTTTGTATAATTTCAAACAAAATTTATTTAGAATCATATTGAATATTTAATAGTTGACCGTTGCATTATAAAGGAAGGAGATGGTCCGGGGTTGCGGTCATAAATAGGCTAAATAGTGGTAAAACTATTTTATTGAAAGCCGACGTTTCGACCCGACGTTCTATTTTATATGTATATAAATATGTATAATATTAATATATATAATATAATATATATAAAAATTTCATAGAAATAGTATTTTTCCGTTGTACCCATCCATATCTTCATATTTTAGATACTGTAATTTCCTAGATTTTTCCCATTACCCAAACAAGTCCCCAAGCCAAACAAGTTTCCCCTATACCTGTCTTTACCCTTGGTTTTCCAGTTCTAAGTGAAACTCCTAGCTGAACACACCTGTAAGTCTCTAATTTTATTCTTCCATTTTATTTACTTATTTATTTAATTTTTTTTTTTTTCTTTTTTTCTCCACATTCCTTTATGTCTATTATTTCATATTATATCCTTTTTCCTTTTCTTTCAATCTCTCCTGTAGATCTGTAGAAGTATATTCACATTTGCATTTATTATATATTACACTACAACAATTGTTAGTATCTATTTACTTCAGTTTAGGATCTTGTTACTTAGCTTACTTTGTTCATATTTTAATGTACTTCCTGTTTATAATTTTAATAAGCTTTATAAATTTTGTCTAAATATTATGTAAGTGCCACAATTCTCTATCATTTTGTATCTTGTCCGTTCTAGCCCTGAAGAAGACCTGCAAAGAACCGGGTAGAACGTCGGCTTTCAATAAAATAGTTTTACCACTATTTAGCCTATTTATGACCGCCACCCCGGACCATCTCCTTCCTTTAAAATTTATTTTACTAACTTTTGCCTGTGCTTTGTCAGGATGTTTAGGTTATTATATTAATTGATTACTTATTTGGAGCAGAATAATAAAATAATATTGGCTATTGTACTAAACGAGTTATAATGCACTATAAATTACAAAAAATAAAAGCTTTTTCAGTAAAATAGGCCAAGTATTTGTTATAAAAAACAAGTTAGGTTCGTTTTATGAAACATGCCCTCCAGTTTTCCTTGACAATACACAGATTCCACAGACAGACACCGTTTACTACCTTGGTCTGACATTTGACAGAAAAATGACGTGGGGCCCAAATATAATCAAGAAACGAAAAACGCTAAATCAAAGATTAAGAATTCTGAACTCACTTCTTTCGAAAAATTCAAAATTAAAACTTAGACAGAAACTGAACACATACAATTACTTACTAAAACCTATTTGGACTTACACATCACAAATATTTGGAACTGCTAAAAGACTCACTTAAACAAACTTCAAATCTTTCAAGCAAAAACATTCAGGACAATCACAAAAGCACCTTGGTACGTTAGCAACATAACCTTACATACTGACCTCCATATGCCGACTGTTAACGAACACATACGAACTCATTACAAACGATTCCATGACAACTTACAAGGACATCCCAATACACTTATAAATGACATGGCCACTATGAATATGCCAGGTAACGTCTGCAGGAGACTGAAGAGGAGCTGGATGAGGGACCTCCTCGCCTAATGTAGATATCACGCCGAGTGAGGTGCCGCTGGGCACTGATCCTCGTAATGCCTTACATGACATTATTTTTTCCAATCAACCTCAAATTCACTGGTTGTCATTACCATTTTGACAGGTGTGAATAAAAAAAAAATTAAAAAAAAGAAGGTTCGTTTTAAGTATACTTTGAAACACTTAAATATGATTTTTTATAGTAATCAGAAACTGCAAAATTTAATACTTTATGTTTTTACAGAATTTTCTCCGAATTCAACGTTAGTACAACCGTTAGAAGCTGATTAAATGCTGTTCCTACCTAAGTCAATAACTTTTCGATTGTATTCCTTTTTAAAATATAAATCAAGAAAAGCTCAATCATTTTTATTTTATATCTTCGGTTTTGACCATTTCGAGTAACCATTTAGAGACCTAAATCTCTAAGAATTTTCCTATCACTTGGTAGAACCGTTCTGAAGTTATCAGAATTTTTAAAATTCATATTTAAGGATTTTTTTGAGGTGCAAAAAACGAAAATAAACTATGTTTCTCCCTAAAAAAATATATACCACCACATTGCTACATCGGCTAGTCCAAATCATACTATATATATTGATTATTCAAAACAGGTCTGGTATCTAGAGTAACTGCTATTATAAATAACATAAGACAGAAAAATAGTGGAGAACTATTTTTAATACCCTTTGACAGATATAAGCCACGGAATGTATGACTTCTCCTCAGGCTTGAAGCACCAACAGATAAAAGTAGCGTGCTAAGTGCGTCCGTAAAGATAGAAGCAACAAGTGACATTTCACTTTATCACTGGTTACAGGCCAGTGAATCTACATTGAGTCTGATGTTCACTCACGTTCAGTGATTTTTTTTTTTAATAGAATTCCAACTAATCTAAGTAAATTGGTTCATATCTTATATTAATTAGTAATAATTAACGAATCAACAGAAAGTCTAATGTTTGAACAATTTATAATTCAACTCGAGAAAATAAATATAACAACTTAACCGTGTAGAAGGGATTTTTCGATTATTTCATGGCTGCTTCTGCTACTAATCATATATTTTATTTTATTTGTATTCATTTTTAATTCCGCAGGACCTGTTAACAGTTATTCAAATTTATGGTGCAGGATATTTTTCATCTTACTAATCTGGGAGTTATATCATTCTTTGAAGCGTAGCGATGAGCTCACTGCTTTTTAAGAAACAATAGCCCACAAACTAGACTATGTGGATCTCCACATCTGCGACTCCTTAATGTCAGGGGTCAACCTCCTCCTTTATCATCCGGACCATCTGGTTAACGATGAGGATGGCGCAGTTCCAAATTCCCAGGTAGCTCATTTGTTATCGCAAGCAATATTTCCTAGGCCTACACGATGGTACAATCTATCTCTTAAGTCATCTGGGATCGTAAGTCTTTTCCTTCCAACGATCTAAAGTGAGAACTTTCTCAGTGTCGAAGTTTTATTTTAGGATGCGGAAGTTATTTCGATTATGTCTATCGATAGCGACCAATAGTGATATATTACATGAGGTATTCAGTTCCAAATCCAGCCAATTCATATAAATTTTACATGGCTGGTTGGAAAAAAATCTTTTTTGTGTACTGTAGCTATAGATAGGTGGTTCCGTAAATAATATTTATTTTTGAAGTGAAAACTTTTTTAGGCGCGTTTTGCACTTTTTTTTGTGAATCTCCGATGTGTAACGCTCGGCTGAAGTCGACGAATTTTTTATATGGATTAAAATATATGAAAAACTAAAACTCCGAACTGCAACTGAAACTGACTCTCAGTCTGTCAAAACTCAGTTTCAACGGAAACTCCATACTACATAGAGCCACCTGAAGAAGTCGGGTCGAAACGTTGTATTCAAATAAAATTTCCTATATTAATGACCTCCATGACTCAATTATCCATTGTTCCCACCACCTTTATGCAGACGATTCTCAAATATACCTATCCTTTTCTCCCCCTGAGCTATTGGTGGCATTTACTAAGATCCAAGCAGACCTAGATCGAATCTGTGACTGGGCAAACTTAAACGGATTAAGGTTAAATGCTTCAAAAACTCAGGCCATTGTCATTGGTTCCAAGCCCCTCCTTAGATCCTATACCGACTTTCCTATACTAAACCTTCGTGACCAGCCAATCTCCTTCTACTCCTCTGTAAAAAATTTAGGACTATTTATTGATCAAACCCTCTCCTGGAATCACCATATTTCTCACATCTCCCGACGGACAATTTCTATCCTCAAACTATTCCATCGCTTCCGCCATCTCCTACCTCAACATAAGCGTAGACTCCTCGTTTCCTCTCCCATTTTCCCCCACTTTGACTACAGCTGTGTGGTGTATGATGGACTCTCGGTGGAGCTCCGCGACAGACTGAAAAGATTAATGAACAGTTGCGTGAGATTTGTAATTGGTGCCTCGAGATACTACCATGTCTCTCACCACTACACTGAGTTAGAGTGGCCTTCCTCTCCATTCGAAAACAATATTTCCTAGGTACATTCCTCTATCATATCATCAACAATCATCGTCTTTCCTACGCCTACAATCTTCTCCAATTCAAGTCCTCAATCCACTCCCTCTCCACAAGATCTCGACCTCCCGACCTTTACATTCCTTCTCACAGATCTGCCTCGTTCCCAAACTCCTTTATTGCTAGCTCTGTTAATTTTTGGAATTCTCTTCCTATCAAAATCCAACATTCTTTATCCCTATCTACATTCAAAACCCTCCTATTCCAATTCCAGTTCCAAAAACAGTCAGATGCCAGCTAACTTTTATCATTTTCTTTATTTTATATTTTTTTTTTTCAACAGAAAAACAGATTTTACTGTTAAGAAGAATTTACATTTATTTTTTTTTTTTTGTATTTTTTCTAAAAGGGTTTATTTATATTTTACCATTGTACATAGTTTTAAGTATCTTAGTATGGTTTCGAGAGTTTTGTATATAGATTATTTTATTTTATTTTGTATATATTATGTATAACTAATATATTTTTTTTTTTTTTTACTGATTTATCTTTATCTTTACTTTTTATGTTTGTTTTTATCTGGGCATATGTAAAATTTTAATTTCTGTACTTTTTTTGTTATTCTGAAGGGACTTCGTCCCAGAATACAATTATTTTCTATTCTATTCTAAAAATAGTTTTTTACAATTTAATGTTTTTATGACCGCCAAACCATCAAAGTGTTC